GGAGCCGGGGCGGCCGGCGGAGGAGGGGACGACCTCGGGGCGAACGACGAGCTGATCCCCTTCCAGGACGAGGGGGGCGAGGAGCAGGAGCCAAGCAGCGACAGCGCCTCGGCGCAGCGGGACCTGGACGAGGTCAAGTCGTCCCTGGTCAACGAGTCGGAGAACCAGAGCAGCAGCTCGGACTCGGAGGTGAGGAGGCGCCCACGGCCGGCCCCGGGGGACCTCAGCCCCGCGCCTGCTCACCGCCCTGCCCTTTGTGTCTCCTCTGCAGGCGGAGAGGCGTCCGCAGCCTGCCCGGGACGCCTTCCAGAAGCCACGGGACTACTTTGCCGAAGGTACGTGTCCCTCTCCCGGGCCCCGCGGCGCGCAGTTCCCCTGGCCCGGCGGCTGAGCCGCCGCTCTGACCCTCTCTGCAGCAGCCGCCCCGGGGCGCGCGCTCTGGGCGCTCGGGTGCCCGGTCCCCGCCCGGAGCCCCTGGCCGTGGCGCTGTCCGGGGGGCCCGGGCCTCACCCTGCCTCGGTTTTGTCTGCAGTGAGAAGGCCCCAGGACGGCGCGTACTTTAAGGGGCCCCCCTACCCTGGGTACCCCTTCCTGATGATCCCGGACCTGAGCAGCCCGTACCTCTCCAACGGACCCCTGTCTCCGGGCGGAGCGCGCACGGTGAGCGAGTCGCGCCGCGCAGGGGGTTGGGGCCGGGCCGGGGGCCCCCCGGCTCTGCGTGGGTGGGGGAGGGGGCCGCCGCGTCGATCCCGGGCCGAACTTGTTTGCGGGGTGGAGCTGCTCCGTGGCTCCGGGCGTGAGGCTGCCCTGGCCAGCGTCTGGATGAAAGCAAAGTTTCTGTAACTCCTCTGCGGGTAGAGGCTTTGGGGTCCTGCTCGGGGATCTTCTTTAGCCTCCAAATCTCTGTCTGCCCCAAGTGAAAACTTGGATTTGTGCCCCCTTTGGTGGTCTCGCTGTCCTTTTTAGAGATCGGTCAGCTTTCCTTGGGAGCCGGGTAGGAGCCCGGAGGAGCAGGGTTGAGGTCGCCCTCAAGTTCCCCGGGTTCACTGGGCGGCTGTGAGCTGGTTCCTGACAAACCCGGTATTCTTAACGCCCCTTCCCACCCCCCATTCCTCACACCGGGGCCTCAACTTTTCTGTCGTGGAGCTCTGGATTTTAAACTCGGAGATTTCGAGGGCTACCCAAGGCTTTCTTCAAGTTGAGGAACTTGGCTTTCCCCCCCACCTTTGTTGCGGGCTTTTCTCATTTAAAGCGAGCGCTGGGACACTTTAAACCTGTTAATGGGTGCACATTGTGTACTGCACGCTGGCATTTAGAGCGGTGATTAAGCAAATTGACCGGGCCCCAGACGACGTGCAAATGAGGGCGGATTCCTTCACCCCCTCTCTAGCTCTAAGCTCCCGCCCCCCGCGTAGCAAGGGGTACAGCCTCGGGCTGGCCAGGCCTTTGTGTGTCCCAAGCCGGGCTCCCTGCCCAGGCGCCAGGTCCGATGGCAGGGCTTGGGCGAGCGCCTACTGGGTGCCAGGTTTGGTGCTGCCTTCTGCGCCCTCTCGCTTCCAAATCATCTTCCCGATGACGGCCAGTTCGTTCTCGATTGGGGGACGGAAAGTGTTGGGCCCTCAGGAGTGGAGCCCTCGGCAGGCTCACTTGATGCTAAAGTTACCCCAAATAATGACGATGACCAAGGGAGAGAAAAAGCTAGGTGCTGAATGGGCTGTTCCTGCTGTCATCGTGTGGCGGTCGGTAGAGGGCCTTGTCCTCCACAGCCAGTTCTGAGGGCGCTGCCGTCTCTGGGTGAGGCATGGAGGGAAGGGGAGAAGGGAGACCCCTCATCTTGGCCTTGATGGATTGGAGCATCTCAGAAGCCCTGAATGTGTTGTCAGTTCCGCGGTGCAAGCTGAATATTGGTCTGTGGCTGTTGCTTTTTCTCATTAGTTTTTCAAGGAAAAGGTGTGTGTGAAAGTTGGGCGATTCTCCCTCCATGGACACTTTTGCTCCTGCGCCCACAGATGGAGGCAAGATGGGGCGTTCCTGTACCTGGCTGGGTTGAGGAGAGGGAGGGAGTTATGTCACTGAAGTCCCCTTTTCCCTGTTACTGTGAGGCTGTCTGGAGAGGGGGCCAGACCGCTCACATCTGTGTGTCAGCCCTGAGATAGGTCCTGGGGGGTTAAAGCCTCCAGAAATGTCCCTGAGAGGGATGTTTCTCCCTCAAGCAGAGGCCGCCTCCAGCACCCATTATTCTTCAGGGCCTTTTGATTCTCCGAGCCTCCTGGGCTCTGCATCTTGAACAGGACACTGACATCCATCTCTCAGAAGTTGCCCTCCCACCAAGAGGCCAAGTGAGACCAATTTTCTGTTTGTATCTTCCCTCCTGTCCTTCCCTTCATCTTAGGTGTTCTTTTGCATAAGAACTTGGATTCCTGGTGACTAAATCCGGGCCTCATTTTAGAGCTCTCTCCCTCTCTCAACCCCTGCTCATCTTTACAGCCATTGCTTTTGCTAGCCCAGGTTACCAGGCCCCTTTCCACCCTCTTGACACACATGCTTTCTTGGAGACAGCATGCCACCTCATCTCTTGTCTCTCCAGTGAGTTACCTTACAGGGTAAGTTTAATTCCCCCAGTGCCTTTTTTTTCTCTCAGTGATCCTCCTGCCTCAGCCTCCCAAGTGATGGGATCACAGGCATGCGCCACCACACCTGGCTTCCCCCACTGTTTCTGTGCCTCTCATGTGCTAATTGCTGTGTTATTCCTGCCTTGTTCATTACAAAGTTCTTTCATGTACTGGGCAAGTTTTCTTCTAACATGGCCCATCTTTGGGCCAGCAAGGAAAAAAGCAAGGAGCTTAAGCACTGGATTGTACTACAGGGCTGACATGGTGATTTCCCTCTGGGTGATTTGATCAAGGTAATTAATGTGATTTTTACTGGAGAGCAGACAGTGGCCTTCTGTTGGTTTCCCAGCCTGGTAAAAGGATAGAAGTAGAAAGGGGAAAGGGGAGGGAGGTAGCTGAGGCCTGGAGACAAGAGGTCCCTGCAACAGAGGATCTGCTCTCTGTATTTGGTGTCTTAGGTCTTTTGTTTCATCTCCAGCCTGCAAAACTACAACTGTAGGCACTGGTGCCTTAAGGCCTCTAAATGGTATGAAATTGGGTAACCTCAGTTCTCTGCTGTTCTAACATCTTCAGAAAATACCAGACCAGGAGCAGAAGTTGAGATTGCAGTGTTTTCTGAGTGTCCCTGGACCTTAGGAACAGCAGGCCACAGCAGGCCTCTGCATGGCCGGTGCAGCAGCCGGGGCACCTCTCTCCAGGCATTGTCACTTTGCCCTCCACTCTGGCTTGGCAGGGCTGCTGGGAAGTGGCCTCTTCCTGAGGCTCTTTAGGGAAGAGGGCCCCTCAGCCTGGGGTGACTTCCAAGCCTCTGTGCCCAGAGCCTTGTGGCCTGTGAAGAGAGGAATAGTTGCCACCAACCATTTCTCAGTCTCCACTAGTCACGCCCACTGCATAGGGTCATTCATGAAAACACTTCCCAGGTTTACAAAACTGCCTCCTTGCTCTTCACTAGAATTTTGTAAAGTCAGTACATTAGAACACAGATGTCAAAAATGGTTGAAAAGAGCCAGAAGGAAAATGTTGTGTGTGTTTAGCAAGCTAGCTGCAAAGTGATGGTGTATGTAGTCTGTGAGTGCTGATGACATTTGGAAACAGTATGCATCTAGGTAGAGTTGCTAGGGGTATCTCTGGTTTTTCTGTCCAGTGCATAAGTTTAGGAGTAATTGGCAGGCTGCTCAAGACCCATCTCAGCTCAGATCTCCCTATGGGACTGCTCTGCTCTTTAAATATTTGCTCATTTTTAAGTCCTTTGTATCCTGCTATTTCTCCTGCATTGTTTTGCCCATGCCCTGGGCATTCCTGTTCTTCTAGATGAGCAGAAATCTTTGTGTCCATTCACAGAGGTTGTATGTAATAACTAAGGAAGATCTTTTCTTTTAGAGAATCAGTATATGCATGCTGCTTTTGGTAAAATTCTTTTAAACCATTTCATCTAAATATAACTTCTGTTTCATTTTTTCCTAAATATAACTCTGAGTTTAATGAGGACTTTTCACATGGAGTGAGCTTTCAAGAGGGCTCTGCCTGTGTTGCTAAAGTTCTGGCACTTGGGTTGCTAGGGTGATATTTGGTTTCAAATTTTATGGAGGGGCTTGAGTCCTGTCAATCCTTTTCCTTTAGAGCTGGGCTTGGTGGCACATGCTTGTAATTTCAGCACTTGGGAGGCTGAGGCAGGAGAAATGCTGGGAGTTTGAGTCCAGCCTGGACTACATAGTTCAAGGCCAACTTGAACTGCATATCAAGACCCTGTCTTGAAAAACAACAACAACAAAAGAATCCTTTTCCTTTGGGAGAATGGATCTGGTAGGGATTATCTGACTTGACTTGTTATAATTTTGGAAAGTTATAGTTTGGTCTCATTCATAGTTTGGTCTCATTCATAATTGATCTCATTCTAGGGCCTCTTTAGAGTAGGTAGGCTGGTACACACACACACACACACACACACACACACACACACACTCCTAACCTTTAACAAAGAGTGTTCCAGCCTTTACAGTGACAACCAGTGTTACTAAATGAATTGTAGAATAGAAAAGAATTTGAGTGATTAATCCACTGAAAAATCTTTTGTAAGGGAAAGCCCTACTTACATTCCAATGAGAAGACAACTTTTGTTTGCTAACCTGGGAAAATTTAGATTTGCATCCTAAAGATAAGGTGACTTATGTTTGTTGAGTGCCTGTCATGGGCAGTGACTAAGGAGTTAGGGGAGATAAGATGCATTAGACTCAGTCTTTGTCCTACAGGATGTAGAAATTAAGTTAGGAAGAAGTAATATTAGCACTGTAAGAGGAAGTCTGTGTTAAGAGGCAATTAACTCTGAGCATACATTTTTAGCACAAGGAGAAGTATGGAAAAATGTGTTTGAGCCAGGATGGTCAAGGAAACATGTACAGGAGGTGGCTTTCAACTAGTCCTTGAAAGTCACTTTTTAAAAAAATTCAAAGTAATTTTTAATTATAAAAACAATGTTAAACAATACAGAGGTATTTAAAGGACGGAAGTCCTCCTTCATTCCCATCTTGAGATAGTAGCCAGCACAGGGAGAGCACAGCCAAGTAGGGAGGAAAGGTTCAGAGAGATTTGGATTAACGCAGTTTTTTCTGTTCCATTTGCCTGGAAGGATTAGTGCCCAGGGTATAGGAAGCCTTGGACACCAGGGAAAGAATCTGGTCTTATTGAAGAGGCAGTGGAGAACCACAAGTTATGGCCAGGGTTGGGGCTGTAGCTCTGTGGTGTAGAACCTGCCTGACATGGGCAGGGCCCTGGGTTCTAGCCCCAACCCCACATGCACACACGCAGGCATGCACACACACAGAGTTGTACTAAGCAATGTTGTGACTCCCACCTGTGGCACCACTGCTTAGAAAGAGAATGGTAGATTGGAGGGGCAGAACCTCGAAAGAGCTAGAACATCGAGGAGACTTAAAGAAGCTGGAACTGGGGTGGGGAAGGGCTTGAGTTTCAGAGCAGAAAGGAAGGTCTGTATGGGAGAGGCAGGGTAGTTGCTTGCATGTGTGGGGTAGGGAGGTGTGGTACCCTGGC